CCCATCGATTCTGCCGTTAGCGAGATATCGCCCCCCCCCCCCCAGAACCTTGGGGGGGAAATCTCACGAATTGGAAAAATTTCAATCTCGGGAACCGTTCACCGTACAGAGGCGTGCAATAGCTTGAACCAGAGCTCCTCGATAGGAAATGAATTCGGTTCATACGTCCTCGGAGTTTCAATGAGATTTCATCAAAGCTAAATTTGAAAAAAAAAACGTGATGTTTGAGCAATTTTGACACCCCAATGTGGCGAGAGAAACGGGCAAATCCCTCGTTTAAGGTAAGTTGCAGCCCCCTCCCATATGCGTCGATGAATCACGTTCCTTCTTTGACATTTTGGTCCGCTTCAAAGATGTTCCCGTTTTCGGTGGAGTGGCTGAACACAGTCGTGTAATATATCTCTAGAAAGGTCTCTCAGAGCTTCGTATCACGAGTCGGGTTCTTCTCGGCTCGTTTCCGCAGAACTTCCTTGCGTTGCATGGTTTGCTCGCAAGGCAAAAAGGTCTGCACCAAATTTTTCCGGAAAAGGGAAATTCCCCTTTCTCCCGACCGGAACCGGAGGATTTAGCCTCTTATTGATATTTAGCCTCTTATTGATATCCTGGCGCGGATGTCCCCGTATTTCGGGCGGGTTCGGCCACTCGAGTTCTCCTTTTCTGCTCTTTCTCCGTAGCAGAGACGGTTCCTGTTGCGGACGTCATCGTTTGAATCTCTCCGACATCGATTAGTCCCCGATCCCCCGCACCGGGATCGGAAGCGGGCTCCTCTCGAAGGTCTCGGACGTGATGCTGATGGCTAATGCCGATGCATGCCGATTCCGTTGATGTTCTCGTGCGGGAAGAACGTCATCTCTGGGTACCCGAATCGGTTTCGTTCTGCTCCAGGTGGTGTACTGCCCAGTCGAACAAATCTTTCGGGGACACGATCTGATCGTTCTCGGGTCCCTGCAGACCGGCCCCGGCCACCCACGCCGTCGCACGCGCCTTTATCGTGTGCGGTAGCGAAGAAATTCCATTCCGCTCGAATTCCGAAGTTCTCATGGAGACGGATGTTTCGGAAAATTTTCCGATTTTTGTACCGACTCGCAGCTCCATCGGTGAAGTCATGTATTCTTTTGAGCTCGGGCAAGCGCGGCTTCGGCTCTGCAATGATTCCTTCTTGGAATGCCCATACAGTGGCACCGGTGCGATCGAGGACGTCATTAATGCATACGAAGCTGACATGCCCGAGCAAGCCGTCCTGCTTGTGACAGGCGACGAAAGGGTGCAGCCTTGCCTTCCAGGTGTTCCGGTGATCCACAGCATCCTGCACGACGTGCATGAGAGTGCATTCCTGTCCATCGGAGAGGTTTTGCTTCTGTTCCCGCACCTGCGTGGCCTGCGCTTTACTGGCGTGATGGTGTTTTCTAAGGCCATCGAATTCTTCACATGGCATCTGCTTGTAGTCGTCAACTCTCGTCACCAGCGTGTTCCGTGTGGTTCTGTCGACCGTTTGCCACTACTTGAAACGAATTTCCTCCACAGTTGACAGGTGATCTTGTTCCTCTGGTAGAGCCCGTATGTGTTCCAGACCGGGACACTCATCGCATGTGCCCAGCGTACATTCTTCATACATTCTTCGACGCTGATATCACAGACGATCGTGCTCATCAGATCCTTGTAATTGAAGTCCATCTTGCAAGCATGAAGCGCTAGCTTCACGTTGGTAAGTACATACGCAAACGGAAGTGTCCCAGATGCGCTTGGTAAGTCCCAGATGCACTTGGTAAGTCCCAGATGCACTTGGTTGGCATCCTTCCGCATTCTGTAGGCCTCTTGCAGGTTTGCCAGCATCAGTCGCTTTTTGTTTCACCATTCGCCTCTCCTCGGTCACAACGGATACGACGTCTTTCTTGTCTGGGCACATGCGGCTGATTTCGTCATCTTCATAAAAGTTTCTGACGTTCTCGGCAGTAACAGGGTTCAAATTGGCTCCTTTCTTTGGTTGTGGCTTGCCTCGTATCCCATGTGACCTAATGTTCCGGGAAAGCTTTACAAGATGTGATGTTGTCCCGAAAGAGTCTGATGCCTGCTCCTGGGACCGATGCCCGGGAACTGGAGTCAAGATCTGAATCTTTTCTTCCTTTTTTTTCGACTCATCGGAGCGCCGTCGCAAGGCTGCAAAGAGTATTCCGTGATGCCTTTCGGAGAACATCGGATCCGGTTCGGCTATAGACGGCCCTATCTGCTAAGGCTCCAATTCAAGACACTGCGCCACATTATTAGAGACTGCGCGAAGGACTTTCCTCACTTTGGCCCTGGCACACGTCTGCCCCCTTATGCAACCTTCCGCCTAAGAGGGTTTCCTCCAATCGCCGCTAGGGACACGTCCGGATCCTCACGCGCTGCTTCTGGGGAAGGTAATCTTCCAAGGCGATGGCAGAAAATTCAGTAATAACCGACCTGGATGGAGAGACAGGCCGAACTAATGCGACCTCCTGAAGCTCTGCTTGCGGACTTGGGAGTCTCTCCCAGCTGATTTGCCTTTGATAACCGCATACAAGGATGTGTTGCAGTTATTGCAAAGTTTCCGTCCGGGAATCAGAGAATGCTGCAGGTAATCCGGAGCCCTTTCATGCTGCTCCGGGGTGATGACGCGCTTGCCTAGCGCTGCTTTGCAGTGCTCGCTGAAAGGATCGGCACAACGGCGGTTACCTCTATATTGGGAGTCGAAATGGCTTGAATATCGCATTTTTAAAATTCAACTTTGATGGTGAAATCTCATTGAAACTCGGAGGACGCATGGACCGAATTGTTTTCCTATCGAGAAGCTCTGGTTCAAGCTATTGCACGACTCCGTACGATGAACGGTTCCTAAGATGGAAATATTCAAGTTCATGGGTTTTTCCATTTTCCCCCAAGGTTCGGGGGGGGGGGGGGGGGGAATATCTCGCCG